GCCCCCTTACCCCAGAGACTATCCCACTCAAAATGATTAGACTGAATTTGGGACAATGAAAAACTGGTGAATACAAACGCCCATATACTTAAGACTAAGAACCTAAACAATGACAGTAGAGGATCATCCGCAGGCAGCAAAGTGCATTTTCCAAAATATAACCTAAGCCACCCTAGGGGAGAAACCCTTGTAACGAATTTATGGTACANTCAACCTATTACAATCAATTTCCAATCGACACTGGGGAGCTGACCGAGCACTGTTGTTGAAACTATACAGGGTTCTCATCCGGAGTCGGCTGGATTATGCTGCTGCATTCTATGCTTCTGCAGCCCCTTCTACTTTAGCCAAACTGAGCATCATACAAAATAACTGCCTCCGAATAGCCCTAGGCTGCAGAAAGACCACCCCAATATCATCCATGGAAATAGAAGCCAACATTCCTCCTCTGACCATCAACAGGCGTGAAGTGGCATGCAAGTACTATTACCGCATTATTCAGCTCCCCATGTGCCCCATTGTTGAGGTACTACTCCACAATAATCTCCCTACAGCGGCTAACCGCAGGACATCTCACTTGCTCTCATTTGTGTCCAACGCCAAGTCTATCTTTTCCTCCCTACAGATCAATGTTCCTCGTTTACTAACATCACCTCTGATTTCCCCAATACCACCATGGTTTAACATAAAGAGACACCTCTTAACTGACTTTTCTAATTCAACAGTATCCACCACCACCTCCCAGGCTGCTCAACAGATCTATGCAGACCTTGTACACTCAATATACCCAGGATACACTCACACTGCAGCATTTACAGATGGTTCCCATAACCCCCACCCAGCCCCTTCAACATAAGCAGCTCTGCACATCCCTTCAAGAGACATCTTACTGAGTTGGAAACTGCGGCCTGAGGTGGAGGTGTTGGAGTCTGAACTGTTTGCCATCCATGAGGCTCTCAACTGGTCTCTAACAAATCTACTACACACAGAAAAGCTAGTTATTTTCTCTGATTCCCAATCATCTATTCTGTTAATTGGAAACAGGAAGCCTGACAGCTACCTACATCTCATTTTTGAAATACAGAACAAACTAATGACTTTACTTTCTTCTCATGAGGTTTTCATACAGTTCATCCCAGGGCACAAAGGTATTAAAGGCAACGAGGCAGCTGATCGTGCAGCAGCAGAGGCTCATTCCTTGCTCTACCAAACCATAACCACCAACTCAAAGGAGGAACTGACAAGACAACTACATGTTAAGATGGAATTGGAATGGAAAAATTACTGGAGGAACAATACTGAAAACTCAGGGAAGGGCCTTTTCATAAGAGCAATTAAAGAAGATGTGGGTAGTTGGTCATGGGCTAACAACAAAAATCGTGCCATTGAGACTGCCTTGGCCAGACTTCCGTTTCCAATTAGTGGACAGCCCCTTGTGTCCTTGTGGGTTGCCTGAAACTATTCAGCACCTGCTGCTACATTGTCCAATGCATGGTCTGGCTCAAACTAATCTTACTAACTCACTAACCCAACTAAATGTCCCCTTTAATTTAAAGAACTTGCTTGGAGGAGGCCCTTATTCTAGTCCCATTCAAGAATCAATTGTGAGTGCCCTGGCCACCTTCTTAATTTCAATCAATATGCTCTATAAAATTTGATAGTCTATATAAATTCTAAAGGTAACTTTACTAACCATTAGTTGACTAAATACAAATACCACATGTGGGAATTAACAACTTAAATTTAAAATCTTTCCCCGACCAAATGGGTTGCTTGTAATAGAACGAGAAGCACTCCATGCGGTCTCAATAGGTTTAAGACAGTTTGATATTATTTAGGTAGTGACTGCCTCGTGTGAGGGGTGCTCCTCTTTCCTGCTTTCCAATTTATCCCTAGTCTCCTTCAGAGTCCTGCCCATAGGGGGTCATGTTTTTTTTCTCTCATGTTTGTGATCAAAGTAGAATTGTGCCTTAGCTATGAGTCCAAAGAAGCTCCAGGCTGTCCCCCCCCCCAGTCTGTACCTTCGATAACTTGTCAGTAACTTATACAACCCCATGTGAGGCGCTGAATAGGGCATGGTTATTGCTACTAACTGGGCTGGGAATTTTTATTTTATTCCATTTCTTTCTTTGTATTGATTCCTTTGAATTTTTGAAATTGTATTGATTCCTTTAAATTACTTTTAGCAATTTTATATGATTTTTATTTTTTATATTTTTGTTTTTTTATTATTTATTTTTTATTTATTTATTTTTTTCTTTTTTTTTCTTTTCTGTGCGTGTGTTCTCTCTTTGTTCCAAATTTTCACTTTCAGAGCTGTTAGACTGTTAGGTACCAATCGAACCCAGTTTAGGCAAGGGGCTTTATGGACTAGTTTCCAGTGCTCCTATAAGAATAAATAAGAAAGAAAGAAAAGAGGTCAGTATTCAGTCTAGTTCAGTAAGGTACTCAAGGCACAAAGGCAGTAACGTTCATCAAGGTTGTGATCAACAGATCAAGCGAATAAAGCCTAACGGCTCACGCTTACATGATTAAAACAGTTACGCACTCACGCTTGATTGTCTAATGTTAGTCACTAGCTTGCTAAAATGGTATTCCAATCACTAACCCAGTTCCAGTAGGCAGTAGCAGACTAGCAGTGTCCAGCAAGAGTGACTTGATCTTGAACGCCATCCTGAGTTTTTTCCGATTCACGCCAATGGATGGGGGTCCGGGGGAGTCCCTGGACGGCTGGACCCTGGGAGAGGGAGTGTACTCCTTAAATCTATCCGTTCTATAATATATTATATAATCTGTACCTAATACCGCAGCCTCACAGCCCACGGCCACAGGTGACAGGTACTTTAGCTGTTGAGCAAATGGTCTGTAGTGGCAGAGTGTAGTCTGACTAGCCTAGGCTCATACTCATTCAGATCAATCAGATGATTCAGCCACTGCCACTCCATCATCAAACAAACGGGGTAATAATGGACGGTTTTGAGCATTTATTATTAATAACTTCTTGCCATGAAACATTTCATAAACAAGTTTGGGCTCATTTTATGGCTCTGCAAGGGCTATTGAATGGCATTGTTAGGGGCACTCCTAACATTCGAGCTCTAAAGGTTACCAATCACTGCTCATTTGTGCACTGTTAGGCAACTGAGACCAACCAAACTGGTGATCTGTATAACATGCTGAAATCACATAACCATGCAACAATCTAGAAAACAATCTGTGCATAGGCTATTTATCATAATTGATGATCTGGAACGAGAAGACACAAGGGATTAGGGAGAAATGCATGAGAGAAGGAATGGCAACACAAAATACATGGAGCAAAAAGCCATTCCCTCACAGCGTCTTGAAAAAAATTCCATAGGGCACAGGGTAAACTGTAAAGTGGCGTAAACGCACCATATTCTGACATTGTGAATAATTTGGACACTTGACACTTCTCAATTTTTTCCTTAATATTATGCTTTGTCTTAGTTCCACGCAGCGTAGAATCCGTAGATGGTTGAAATAGTGATGTCATACTATTCACTATTGCCCGCAATATTTCCGCAATACACTAGGTCTGGCAAGAAAATATTAAGACCCGCAGGCGCAGAGCGAAAGTTCACGTTGCCCAGTGAGAACATTGAAAAACCAACCCTTGCTCTACCAAATAGTGATGAACTGTTTGTGTAGAAAGAATATTATGGTTTGAGACTTTTAAATAAGTCTGTGAATATATTAGGAATCTTTTAAGTATACTTGTATTTGCTGATTTCAAGTGGTAAATAAATTAATAGATGATTGATTCAAGAGATGGTTTAGACACATAAAAAATAATTCCGACACGGTGTCAGAATTACAACACACAGTTGTGACACAGGGTGTCATATTCCAACACAGCTCACACAGGGTGTTAGAATTCCAATTTCCAACACAGGGTGTCAGAATTACGATTTTGAAGTGCTGTTGGAATTAGTCTTCATTTATCAATATGCCGCATTTAGTCACACACGTTTCGGAATTCAGCGATTTTGTAGATTTGAATTCTAGAGGCTTTTAAATAAATATGGCAACAGTTTGTGACTTTTCATCATTGCTGGCGTATAGTGTGGTGTTTTGAGAGTGACGTAAACCAATCAGAACTCGAGTTGTGCATACGGTGATGGGTGATCTATTTATAGCCATTTATTTCTTGCTACGTCCTCAAGGTGTCAGAATATAGTGTGTTTACCCTTTGCTATTTGTAAGGTGCCAGATGGCAGATGCAAAATAAAACACCCAAAAACCCCAAATTAGTGAAATTACCCCTGGGGATGGGGTAATCTGGGACACTTGAAATAAAACTCAATTTTAAAATGTTTAAAGCATGCAGAGTGTAGTAGTGTACTCATCCATTACTAACAGTACTCTGAAGTCCTCCTCTTTCATTATAGATGATGTAGATGTAGAATAAATGACATCTTCTGTGTTTTTTACTTGTTTATTCTTTATTGATTTGAAATCACCATATTCATTCACTACCATATTATTGATGTGATATTACCATATCTGTATCCATAAAAATGCCATTGAGCATTTACAACAACCTTGTCCACTGCAAGCTTCATATCAGCAGCTGTATAACATTTCTCCTGCATCTGTAAGCTTACAGCACGGCTTGTAATTTCACACCATTCTAATTGAATTCACTAAAAAAAAAAATATTGTAAAAACATACCTGAAACAGAAAAGAATATTTTAGAAACAACTATCATATGTTTTGGAGAAATAAATCATAGTTTAGGTTTATTACTTTTCATTCCATGATGCCCAGTGCACAATTCATGATGCCCGTCCCTTATTACTCCGTTTGATGTTAGCTGCAGAGCTGCACTGCCCAGCATCAAGAGTTGAAGAGCCCAGCCATTTTTACTGATTTATTTTTCTTGCAAAGTGTGAATGTTCAGGCTGTTGCTGGAAGAGTTGAGCACTTGAGCTCAACTTACTGCTAATTTTTTCCTTAATAGCAATTATATCTGATTTTGTAATCTTTCAGAGCATTCTAAAGAAGAAGCAAGCTTTCAAGCAAACTGGACTCCAAGAGTCAGCTTAGCCTCATTGCCCTCATGGCTTATAATATTAGGGAGTGCAGTGTTGTGCTGCACCAGCTCCCTGATGCTGCAGACCAGAGAGGTTGGTATGCTGAGCGTGAGCAGAGCGGCCAGAGCCTTCCTCCAGCCCTTGCTGCTGCTGGTGTTTGTAAACTTGAGCCTGGAGGTAAGCTGCAAGGCATATATATAGTGACAAACCACAGAGTTTTTAGACTCAGTTTATTTTTAATTTCCATATCCACTTAAAGACTTGAACCAATTTCTTGTGTATGATAATACTGATATGATGGGATCCATGATTCATTACTGGTCTACTTAAAGGGTTCATAAATTAATTAAAGGAAGAATCTAAAACAGTCTCTGCTTTGACACCATGCAGCAAGGTTGATGTATCCAATTAATTGTTAACTTCTTTAAAACTATCCCTATTTTGAAAATCAGGCTGAGGTTTCTTAGAAGCACAGGTAAAAACAAGAGCTTTTCTGGGTGATTTACAAAAATTGCAAGTGCAAATAGGCTGTTTTTCTTATGTTAAACAGGATAAATTAGAAAATTGCCATAGGACTGAGTGAAATTAGCCAGATTCACAGAGGTTTTCCTGATTCACGTGTGGCAGCTGCCGAATTTTTCCACTTAGGAGATCATCTGAAAAATCAGGCAGAAGCCACCAGTAAATGAGATAAAAATGAGAGTGCATTGAGTCAAATTTACCCACTGTTAAGGCCTTTGACAAATTTCTTTCATAAAAAATAAGATAATTCATACATTTTTGACTGCAATTTTTAAAAAATATCCATAAATCAATTTATGTGCAATTTTTTAAAAATTCTGACCAATATTCCAGACTTGTTTGGAAGGTGCAATGAAGTAAGATATGGTAAACATTGTAGTTCTATTATTGTGATATTACAATCCCAAGGCCAAGATTCCCACAGACAAAATAATCAAACTATTTAACTATTAGGTTTTTGGTTATATATAAAATTTAAATTTGACAAAGAATCTAAAGGGCCTAAATTTTTTATACGTATTTAGAGTTAGTTGTTTGTCAATTACTGCTATGCTTTCCATGTGTAATTTCTCATCTTTTTATTGCTTACATCTTGAGAGTTGACTCATAAAAATGTTGAATTCAGCCTGTACAGTTTGCTTTGTCATTTTTATTGACAAGGACAATCATGTAGCATATCTTGCCTGCACTACATGAGAAGCACTTAAGAATGAAATGAGATGTATTTTATGCTAAGAGGAAAGCAAATTAATGTGCTTCTCCAATTACTTTTGATGCAAAATTCTTGTAAAAAATAGTTGTTTTAATCAGTAGAATTTTTATCGTGGTACCAGAAATTTATACATAGGTATGGTACGTGAATTATATACTATTATTATTACTATTAGTTGGCTAAGAATAAACAGTTGCTACCTATTTTATTCTCAACATAAACTTTATATGAATGCCAATACTTCAAAATGCCAATCAAGCAATGTTTTCCATTCATGGCTGTGAATGGTTGTGTCAAATATGCAAAATAAAATAATAATATACTATATCAATAGAATTCCAGCCTGTATTTGATTATTTGATTATGATTGAAATTCTGCAATAAGAATAATTGCTATAAATTATTTCCAGTTCCTGAGGCCACAGACTCATCTGCAGTTCCCAAAACATTGACCATTTACATCAAAGAGGAGCCTAATGAGGACCACGTGGAGGAGTTGGTCAAGGAAGAAGCACCCGACACTCTAGAAAATGAGGTGAAAAATCCAATCTTTTCATTCCACATGAGGACATTAAATTTATTCTGTTGATGAGAAAATTTCTGCTTGGTTAATTTACTCCAACTGAATTCTATAGTGATTCTAGTTTACATATTACACCTGAAATGTGTTATTTGAAAACAATTTAAAGATACTGGATGCCATGAATCTGAGCATGAAATCATTCAATACAAAGGGATAACATTTATTAGTCCAATTAATCTCAACAACTACTAAAACTAAGGTTCTGTTGGACTCCTTATGGAAATAATATGATTAGCAAAATTTAAAACATGCTAAGTATACTTGATAGTTAAAAATATTTGTATTATATGTATGTATTTGCTAACCATGTGATTTTCAAATGTATTTTCTGAACAAGTGAATTTCAAATTTATTTTGATTATTCTGATTTATTTGTGCCTGTCAGGTGGCACCATTATGTGCCAACTAATAATATTCATTCAACTCAAGGACTTGTGTAAATACATGAGGGATGAGTAAGACGCTTCCTTTCTATAGAAGTTATCTTCATGCTGGGTGGTTATACATGAGAGTTACTATTATAGATACAGAAAAAGGTAGACTGCTGCGACCATCAGGTCAGAGTAGCTCTAACGAGTGTTATATCGCAGTGTACTTGTTAGTTACTGGGAAGCTTTGCTAAGGTTCCCGGCCATTATATAAACTTCTACTTCCGGCCATATGCTGTAAAAACTGTTGACTCAGCGCCTAAGGCAAGCTCTCAGTGACACAGTGTGATATTGAACTCATAGCTAACTAGGTCTGCTGATGAACACGTTAGAATTTGTATCCACAAACTACTTCTTGAAATGTCTAAATCAACTTCATGCCAACTGATGTCCCTGTTCATGCCTGATCCTATTCACCAGCCAACTCCCCCTTCTTCGCCTTGTGTGCCGTGCAAGAAGGAGGCTCGGGCTGAGATTCAGGAAACTCAGCCTGGTGGCTCGAGGGACTGTGACACTGAGACTAGGACACAGGTTTGTATAAATGAGCAGTGTGCTCATTTTTGGTTGTAATTGCGATTATGTCAAAAACTTCAATGTAATATGGTTGATTGGTTGCCTAGTACTTAACAATGTGTTGTGGAAGTGTGGTTCTATCAGAATTAATTAATGAATAAAAATTTCAGTAAAATTAATTGATGCTGACAAAACTCATTTGTTAGAATTAGAGCGTACCTACCTACAATTTAAATGATAACACATCAGCTCAGCTTTTGATCTTGGCATTTAATAATTTAATGTTGAGGTTGAGATATCACCGGAGGTTGCATGCTCTCATGTTATGTTTATTCATTGCTTGAAAGTTTTTCTATTCATACACAATTTTAAGCATCACATTTACTGTTGCTTATTACCTGAATTAAAACTAACTTCACATTCAAGTGCAACTACTTTCTTTTCTCAGGATGACTTGTTTTGCAAAGTCCAGCTAACTGCTGGTGAAGAAGAGCCCACAGCTCTGTCTTGTGGCAGCTTGAATCAGAAAATTCATACCATTGAAGGGAATATTTCTCAGGTGTCCAACAAAAGAGGCTTAGTTCAAGTGAAACCTCTTGATGCGCATGGACCTCGGAACAATTTCCTCAAGATAAAACGTAAAATTTCTAAACATAAATTGAAATATTGTTGCAAATTGTGCAGTTATTCCACAGATTCCAATAAAGATTTCAAACTGCATTTGTTCTCTGATCATGCTACTGGAAAAGTGTTCAAATGCAATTTGTGTGCTCATATTACTACTGTGGAGAGTCATTTAAAATTACACCAGTTTTCTAAACATGGCTTGGGAAGAGGATTGCAGTGCAAGTCCTGTGACTATGTGGCTGCTTGTAAGCAGGTTCTTGAAAAACATATTTTTTCAAAGCATGGTTTAGGTCAAGGATTCCAATGCAAGCTCTGTGATCACGTTGCTGCTTGCTATCAGAACCTCAAATCTCATGAGTTATCTAAGCATGGCAGTGGAAATGCATTCCAATGTAAATTGTGTGAACATGTTACTGTTACTAAAAGGTATCTCAAAGCCCATTTGTTTTCTAAACATGGTTTGGGAGAAGGATTCAAATGCAAATTTTGTGAGCATGTATTTGCTGACCAAGTGAATTTCAAAAGGCACTTATTTACCAAACATGGTCAAGGCAAAGGATTTCCATGCACATTTTGTGATCATATCTCGGCTGACCAAGCAAGTCTCAAAAAGCACATGTTTTCTAAACATGGGCAGGGTAAAGGATTTCAATGCTCAGTTTGTGATCATGTCACTGCAAGCCAAGCGAGTCTCAACAAGCACATGTTTACTAAGCATGCTACAGGAAATGGATTCAAATGTAATTTGTGTGAACATGTTTCTGCTACTAAACGGTACCTTGAAGATCATCTATTTTCTAAACATGGTTTAGGACAAGGGTTTCAATGTACTTTATGTGATCATGTTGCTAAAAATAAAATTAGCCTCAATGCCCATTTGTTTTCCAAACATGGTTTGGGGAAAGGATTCAAATGTAACTTGTGTGATTATGCCTCTGTAAGAGACAAGCATTTCGAGATGCACATGTTTTCTAAGCATGGCGTGGGGAATGGATTCCCATGCCAGCTGTGTGATCATATTGCATCTAGCATGCAGTGTCTCAAAAGGCACCAGACTTCAGTTCACAATTTTGGTTAGCAGTTTCAATGCAGTTTGTAAAACCATTATACAGCATATGAACACAGTTTTTAAATCCTCCTGTTTTTGATACATACTTTTAGTGGCCAATGTTGGCTGTGCAATCCTGTTGCAGCCAGCAAGCACCGAATCAAAATGCAGCAGATTGCAAAGCATGAGTTCTGTGAACATTTGTAATGCAAGTTGTTTATTCCACTGATGATAAATCTTCTCTTGGAACTGCATATCTTTTCTAAATATGGTATGGGGAGAGGATTTCAATGCCATTTGTGTGACTATAATCCTGCAAGTAAGCCAGATCTCAGAAAGAATTTGTTTTCCCAACTTGGTGTAAGGAAATAATGTAAGATATGTTACTATGTAACTCACAGAAGATCTCCACTTGAAGTGCATGTGATTTCAAAGCATCGTTTAGGAACCATGTTTCAATGTGCAAAGCCTTGTCATATTATTTCTACATATTTTCTCAAACTACGTTTATTCAATGAACCTGGTTTTGGAGAAATATTCAAATGTAGTCATTTATGTGACTGTGTCACAGCTTGCAAACCTCAACTTTAGATGCACCAGATTTCTTAACATTGTGTTTGCAGAGTTTGGAAACTAGTAATGAGTTAGTCATGTTGTTTCCCCAAAGTTTGCCAGTCTGACCTTACATTCAAGCACATATTGCATATCTGGGAGACAGAAAGCTGCTGAGTCACTTAAATCAACACTAAGTGTAGCTCACACCTGTGCTGAGCATGTAAATGTAGATCAGCAATTTGTAATTCATTTGAAGATTGCGTTTAATGTCTCTAGTTCATTTGTGTTGCATTGGCTTAATAGCCTACGTTGCATTCTGCTTCAGTAAGTGTATCATGTGAATGTGACTAAGGCTCCACTCGTATCATTTGGTTTTGTATGCCTTTATTTTTCTCAATGGAGTTGTAATTCTCTATTTGTTTCGCTTCAGTCTACTTCAAACTGTGTTAACCAGCTCAATGTACTTGCTTCAACAGTTAATTTGGTGGAACCATTGAATATGAACAATTTGTGAGTTATTATGCTTGTCATGGGCTGCAAATGTTTTTCTTCATTGAACTGAAATTTATGTAATGCTGAAAGAATATAGTTGTTTCAGTGTTAGTAACAAGTCTGTAAGGATTTAGCTTAGATTATTTTGAAGCCGATGTTTCGGCAATGTCGCCTGAACTATAGAAAGGGCTTGGTTTTCAAGTTTTCTTTATTCGTCATAACTTGGGCAGTCGGCCGCCTGTATCTAGGGTAAGCGCTAAGCTTTTCTATTGAATAATAGAATAAGAATAATTGTGTACTTTAAGTTAATAATTGTAATAGTTGCGTTATAATTGTCTATTGATTGTTATCTTGTTTCTAGTAAAGTGTATTTAAGCATTTGATTATTTGTTGGTATGAGAAGTCTGAAGTACTTCCTCATCTGTCGCGCTGTTCTTGCTTCTGGACTCCTTCAATAAAGCTACGTCTAACACGGATTCTGTTAACCTACAAGCAGAAGAAATGTTGACTGGCACTTAGTTAATTCTGGAACCTATAATGAAAGGAACCCCTGGACGTCATTACAAAGTCTATGTTTGTCATGTTGCTGTAAATATACATTGCAGATGTTTCACGGGTCTTAGATCTTGAACACGCATTTCACCTTTCAATCTTGCAATTTCTAATGACTTCGAGACTGCCTTGCCAATCTCGGCCTGATCTCTGCTGCTAGGTACCTGCAAGTTTCAGACCCACAGCTCGCTGTCCCAATCTTGGTGATCTGAACTGCTATACTTATTTAGCAACGTTCGCTTAGCTCATTTGGCTCCTACTGAAACTACGTATGCGTTGCAGAGCGCCAAAACAAGCTGTGGTGACTTTGGCAATGGGATTGTTTATAGAAAGTATTGATTCCAGCAGAATGTCGAGGTTGCAAACCGAAGACGCAGGCATGTCAAACTCGTTGTCCACGCGAACACGGTTGGCCGAATGCTGATGCTGGCAACAAGCAGTTTCAAACCAAATAAAGTCGGTTTTTAGAGCATTTTCTCATTTATGGAAAAAGGCGCTATTGTGCTCGTCATGTCCGTCCGTGACGTGAAGTCACGAGATTGATACTTGTGTATATTTTGATTTAACTCGGTTGTAATGTAGAAAAATCATTAAATAAAGTTAGTAAGTGAACAGATATTGAGTCGTTTCCCTTCATCACTGAGAAAGAACTCAGGTTTTGTATCTAGAATCAGGATTTTAATTTGAATGTAAACTAGTGATTTTTGTGGCACTCGTTTCGTCGTTCTTTCCTAATTTCGAGTGCCTACTCCAAAAAATAGAATCCTCATTCTTAATAATAATAATAATTATAGCGGTTTCAGCGTTTAGTAGGCCGTAGGCCTGTCGCCAATTCTTAACATCGCAGAACATTCACAGCTTGTTGCGGTCTCGAACTCGCAACTCGCTGCTACAATTCTGCTGTGCTTAACCGCCCGGCCTCCTCGCCGATTCTGACCAGAAACTGGCGCACAGAGCTGGGATCGAACCCGCAACTCTCTGCTCCACTCCTGGTACTCTGAACTTTAACCACTGGGCCTTAAATCCTCATTCTTAAGGAGGGTTACGTGGTGGCTTATCGGTAAAAGGAAGATAATCAAGAGTTTGCATTTGGCCACAACGATTTTCATGTGTTTGAGACTTTGAGTTGCCATGCAATCATTAAAGCATTTTTTTTTCTCTCGCAATATGTAAGTTTTACCTTAAAAACGAAAGTGTCTCACTGGACACTGGGCAGTGGTCAGGTTTCTCTCGCCAGTCATTACAGTGTTAAAGTATTCTTGAAGTATATTTAACAAAGGCAAATTTAATTAAAAATATCTCTTGCATTGTTAAAATATCACTGGGTCTCGCAGAATTCTTCGAAAAAAATATACTAGTCACTCTTCTTTGCAACTATTTTCTATAAGATCGTTCTGTTCTATGGTAGAAAATATTCGTAAGGCCAACTCGCTTAGTTAGATATCAACAAACTCTATCATGGTCTAAAACTCTAAATGCAGTGTAAATTATGACTACTCCTAGTCACACGGTGGACTGTCACATCACTGTTGCCTTCCCTACAACCCTGTCTTCATCACACCAAACTCCCTAAGTTTGCTGCATTTATATGGTCATGGAGCATTTGCAGGCCCCTAACATTTGCCGCATGCATATACTTCCGCACACCAATAAAACTGCTCGTTAACACTTAACAGCTATTACGAAGTATTATTTGCATTTTACTTTACTCAACGTGTTAATAAAGTGTTTTCTATTCAATGTGGAGCTTTTCCTCGAGCCATCGGAGTAAACACTCTCCTTCAATAAATAAATAGTCATTGCTTAAGGAAGTGTACTGTTTTAATATCACGGTGAGCTGGTGGAACCATGGGTGGAACTACGTGGATGGCGTTTTGGCAACGATTGCATAATCACTGCAACATTCCCTTGTGTTGGACAGGAAATGTTTTTTTTTTTTTTTTTAAAGGCCTCCCACATTCAGCTAAACCTTTACTAGCTATGAACTAAAAGTTAAATTTAATTTGTAATAGGATTCAATAATGTTCATTATTTATGGTATTTTGCATTTAAACTTATCCATGGCGTACTTATGCTCCTACTTTAACTTCCCGCACTTGTATCAATCGTTTTCGGGAACCTGCATTAGACAATCGAAAGCTGTGTGTTGTTTTAACTGAACTTTTATTCAGGGCTAAATTCATGTTTTGATGACCACGAAGCTTCCTAATCCATGTCATCCCATGCAAATGATATAAAATAAAATCTATGAGGATTGCATGATGAGCGTCAAAGCAGTTAAGGAAACTGAAGGTTTTACTATATATTGCAAGTAGCCAGACGATCACATCGTGCGAACACTTAAGTTAGAACTTCACGGTGATCGCTGCTCGTCAAGATACGTTGATCAAAATACTTTAAAAACTCATGCGGAGTATTTTGCATTTAAACAATCAATATTTATTACGCAAGCAGTGATTAAGAGTTTGATTGCGTTACCTCAATTGAATTGATTAAGTTACCGTCAAAAATTGGTCGACGTCTACAAAGCTTTACATGACATGTTATGCAATTATCTCAATTTTTTCTACTATAAAATGAACGTTCATAAAGAATAATCATGCAAAAATCCTTTCATACCTGCTATTTATTCTTATTTATGAGTAACATGTTATTTTTTTCTAATCTACACATTTGTTAGTGACATATTAGGACCGAAACACTGGTTTTTACCCTGCTAGTATCCCAAATTTACACAGATGTACAATCATGTATTGCTACAAATTTTTACGCCCTTGAGGCAACAGGAGAGAGAGTTCCGCGTCAGCGTGACGTCAAATAAAACTGATCTAACAGTAATCGTTTAAGGCATGCACGAATATATGCATGTGTGGGTCAAGTTAGGCGTGTTATCACTGACAGTATCAACGGAATAGGATGTGTGGTAAAACATTTTACACCGCAGCAGTCAACCGGCACAAAATTGGGCTCCCAGTCCCGAGCTGTTAAAGTCGATGCCGAACTAATTAATCGACTTGGTCGAATTGAACAAATTTAATCTATTTGAATGTCACATCTTATTAAATTTAGTAAATATCCCCTGAGATATCACAACTTGACGTAGACTCGCTCAAAAGAAAAAATATTAAAACAATTTAATACGTCAGAGATGCGAAAGTTGAAACAATAGATTTCCAAAATATAATTAAATTGCAGTTGTTCAAATCTATTATGTTAACTATTCTTTTCAATAACAAAGAAGATGTACTTCTTTACATTCTTCATAATGATATTTTTAATGTTTAATTTCTGATAAATCATAGCCCAGCCCCGGGACATTGAGGTGCTGGCGCTGTGGGTCCCCCGCTGTTATGAGGCGCTGTTGGCAGCCTCGTTTCTTGCAGCTCCAACGCCCGAAAAAAAGTCCGCCGCTATACTAGAAGAAGTAATTGCATAAAATAATTTCGGCATAAATAATTTAGTTAATTTGTTGAAGAGAAAGTGTGCTACTATGTTCTGCAAGAATAATAAATTTATTTCATTGCAGGGAAAAATATGGTTGAATTTATAATCTACTTGGGTGAATATTGTACTAAAAACAGAATTTCAAAATGGAAATTCGCGGGCATAGTTTCCATTCCTGGGCCAACGTCGTTGTATCGCGGGCCGCGAGAACGCTTCTCAGAGAATTGGATCTGCACCAACGCCATGGAAAGACGTATCAAATCAATGTGTCTACAATTGTTTTTTATTGTTTAGTATTAACTGAATGTATATTGAAACAATTGATATTTTATTTGACCATTATTCCACGCACCAATCTTAGCCATCTCAAGCCAACTATGCACCACCAATTATACGATTTATTTGTGCATTGAAGTTCAGAAGATTTTCTAATTAATTAAAGTTGATTATTATTACTATAAAATGAAATTAACATTACTTTTTAAAGCATAAAACCGAGATTGCAAAGTTTTCCGTGGATATAAAGTGGAAGGTCGTGTCGTGCAAGCGCTCTAATCAATATTATTGATGGCTGTTGTCCGCACACTTGTGTTCACAAATACGCTTCAGTTTCACATTTAGGTAAAGTATTCAGCATGTATAAAGATTCAGCTGAGTAATGAGTAGATTTCACATCACAGTGATCAATCGTTTCCCCAGTAGTGTACAAGTGTAGAAGTATGAATGGTTGCATAACTCTTTTTTCAGTGAATCGCTGCTGATCGCGTGTTGCAGTGGGAATGTTAGTATACTTTTTTTCTAATTGCACTTCTTGTCGTTCATAATACCTCTAACTGGATACAAATATTTTAACTATTGCTAGTCTATGGCAATGTTACTTTTTGACTTGAAAACGGTGTGTTACAGTTTAAACTATAAAATAAGTCGTTCTGCACGAGTCTATGTTGTAATAGCATAGTTAATCCTCAAATAAATCTTTTCTTGCTCACTCATCTAGAAGAAAATATTCAAGGGGATACCTCCATTAAGCGAGTATTGACCAACTTCGCAAACGTCGTACTGCTAGAAAAATTTCGACAACTTATTACGATTTGCCAATACACCATCACTTTACATTTAATAATACATTTCTGACACAACTAAGGCACCTCACTAGGGTCTTCGCAGTTGCACGGTCTTCGTCTGGTGTCCTCAAGGCGCCGTTGTTTTACAGTCCACAGAGTCCACTTTAGCTGGCATTATAAACGCAGCGTTCCCGGTGAATAGACTCGATTATGCAGTTATAAATACTAAGCAAAATTTAGAAGGGCTGAGTGTAGCTAACGGTTGTCCTCTAGCACTCTATGCGTATTTATTTGCATGCATATAAAGCATCACTAAGTATTTTAGAGATTATAAATTATATCAACTTTTCACTACAAAAGAATAAGAGAAGGATTATTAATACATAGTAATTCACCAGAAAATATATTGAACGATCTTTTATATAACATAATGCCGATCATCGACGAAATGAAGGGATAAAATTTACGTAATTAAGTTGGAAGTAGTTGCAAAAAATTATCAGCAGAAATCGCTCAAAGAATTGAAGTACGAATTGAAGTCACACCAGAATGACCCGGCACAAGGACAAGTTCATTAATTTCATGGACAAGGAGTGAGGCGCTAGCGTGTGAGGCGTGAGGCGCTAGCGTGTGAGGCGTGAGGCGCTAGTGTGTGAGGCGTGAGGCGCTAGCGTGTGAGGCGTGAGGCGCTAGTGTGTGAGGCGTGAGGCGCTAGCGTGTGAGGCGTGAGGCGCTAGTGTGTGAGGCGTGAGGCGCTAGTGTGTGAGGCGTGAGGCGCTAGTGTGTGAGGCGTGAGGCGCTAG